GCCTAAGCGGGGCCGTAGCGGGGCTGTAGCGGGGCCGTAGCGGGGCCGACGGGGCCGTAGTGGGGCCGTAGCGGGGCCTAAGCGGGGCCGACGGGGCCGACGGGGCCTAAGTGGGGCCGTAGCGGGGCCGACGGGGCCTAAGCGGGGCCGTAGCGGGGCCGTAGCGGCCTAAGCGAGGCCGTAGAGGGCGGCTCGAGGGGCAGTAAGGGCGGCCAATAGGGGCTACTAAGGCGGCTCGAGGTGCTACTTGGGTTAGGAGCTAAGCGCGCTCTGAGCAGGGAAGGAAAAAAAAAAGTTCGTGGTGGGCCCTAGGCAGTATTCCCACTCGGGAACCTGCTCGATACCATGACGAGAAGTGAGAATGGAATGGATGAACTATGAAACAGTTTGGTACAAGTACTAACCCTAATTGGGTTGTACCCCTTATGGGCTACCCCACTACAGCCTACACAAATGTATAAGCTATAATGTTCTGACAGTGTGCACTGCATCGGTTCCACGCCCTAATGATTGGCACCGCCCTTGCTGTGTGCCAAGCCAAGCGAAATCTATGACGCTACCATTGTGGTACAGCTGGGCGTTAAAGCAGTAGTATACATTTGGAAGCACTGTTGTTTTTGTATAGTGTGCCAGGTGATTGCGCCTCAACGAAAATATAAATAGGATTGCGAGAGTGTTGGCGAAAAACTGAAGCGCTTCTGTTGTGAGGGAACACGGGGTGGGTAGGTTGTTAATCACAAAATGGGAAAGGCCTCCCGTATGAGGGAACAAATAAGCGCTTCTGTTGTGAGGGAACAGGGGTTGGGTAGGTTGTTAGTTACAAATAGGTAGCTATGCTGGCAGTCCATGTGCGTCGTGTGTGTCAGCTACTCTGACATTCCACGCGCGTGACTGGTGCCAGCTGTGCTTGCAGTCCGCTAGCGCCACTTGCGCCAGCTATGCTGGCATTCCGCGAGCGGAACTTGCGCCAACTGTGCTGCCATTCTGCGTGCGGCACTTGCGCGCGCTAGGCTGGCATTCCGCATGCGCTAGCAGGGCGCGCTCAGCAGAGCTGCGCGCAGCAAAGTGGCACGCGCCTGCATAACGCGCAAGGAGAGACGCAAGAGGGATGAGAGGAAAGGGAGAAAGGGGAGATAAGGTAAGGAGGGGGAGAAGTGTCAGTAGATCTGCACTGTGGATGCCCGATTGATCCTGGAGAGGGTTACAAGCGCGTTTGCCTGGGGGGTTATGGGCGCACTGACCCGCTATTGAAACAAGCCCTTTTATCCCAATGGTCTAGTGGTTGGGATTCTGACATAGCATCAAAGCGGTCTCGGGTTCGATTCCCGGAGTATGCACATGTAGGCCGTTGCTGCTGTGCTTAGTCCTGGGCCTCCCAGTGTGGGGGGGTGTCAGTAGATCTGCACTGTGGATGCCCAATTGATCCTGGAGAGGGTTACAGGCGCGTTTGCCTGGGGGGTTAAAGGCGCACTGACCCGCTACTGAATCAAGCCCGTTTATCCCAATGGTCTAGTGGTTGGGATTCTGACAAGAAGGGCGGGAAGGGAGAGAAGGGAGGGATGGGAGTGAAGGGAGGGAAGGTAGGGAAGGGGAGTCGAGTGTCGGGAAATGAGAATCGGGCAGCGGGAAGGCGCATCGAGCGGCGAGAAAGGGGAATCGGGCGGCAGGAAAAGGAATCCGGCGGCGCGAAAGGGGAATCAGACGGCGGGAAAGGGCGGTCGGGCGGCGGGAACGGAATCAATCGGTGGGAAAGGAAATTCCGGCGGTGCAGAAGGGGATTCGGGCGGCGGGAAAGGGGAACCAGGCGGCGGGAACGTGAATCAGGCGATGGGAAGGGGAGTCCGGCGACAGGAAAGGGAACTGGCCGGCGGGAAAGGGGAATCGGGAGGCATGAAGGGGAATCGGGCGGCGAGAACAGGGAGTCGAGTGGCAGGAATGGGAATCGGGCAGTGTGACTGGGGTTTCGAGGCGACAGGAAAGGGAAACGGGCGCTGGGAAGGGCATCAGGCAACGGGAAAGGGGAATCGGGCGTCGGCGAAGGGGGAATCAGGCGGGGGGGAAAGGAAATCACTAAGGCGGTGCCTCAACGCATTCTCACTTTGGATGCGAAATGATCCATGTATTAGGCCCCAGAAAATAAGCAATGTTTCTGTACGCGTATGAGCTACGCGTGAGAAGCGCTATAATTGCAATGGCAAGCAGTGCGTGTGGAAGTTGCCTTAGTAGAGATGACTAAGAACACTATGGGAGTGGGGATAGTGGCGAGGAGGCATGTCCTTCAGTATACTTTTGGCTAGCCATAAACATTTGACGAGTGAGTCAGGTAAGAGGGGTTGGGTTTGAACTTGTCGCTATGTCAGAAGTCGAGAGACCCTGTAATTTGGTTACCACCAAATACCTTTTATAAACTTTTGACCTTTCCCCTGCCGAATGTGTACCGCTGCTTAAAGCAAATCCTCACAGTCGATCGAGGACTGCGCGTTCCAGCCTGGCTGGTGGGCTGGGCACTCCCTGTTCCTTGCGCTTGTTGCTGGTTGCTAGCAGAGGGTGATGTGCAGGAGGAAAGGGAGGGACTGCATGTTGTCAATCCAACACTGATGCGTTATGGTTTTGTGCCCACCACCAAAAATCGGTGGGGGCACCAGGCACCCCATGCACAAGGCAGAAATATTTCAGCTGGAAAATCCAAAGCAGGGCGGTTGGAACAGATCCAAACCGAAACATTTTAGGCTAGGAAAACATGTGTCAGCTGGATACAGTAACACATTTTAAGGTGGGTCCACTCCTCTGGTCCGGTTAGATTGATAAGGAAACAACTGCATCTACCCTACTACACTCAAAATATTGCCTCGGAGGTTCTCCATCGATCTCTTTGCATCAGGCTCCCTTCTCTCTGCTCGTCCCATTCTCCCTCTTCTGTCCACCCCATGCGAATCAAATAAGAGAAATGTGATACTGCACTAAGATCAACTAGTGCGTAGAGTTTTGAACCGTACGTCACTTCAAACCACCCAATTTCTTCTCCGCCCTTTGCCAACGGCGTCAGATCTAGGTAGAACCAATCCGCGTCCATTCCACAATGATTTGTCCCATCAAGAGAGACAAATTGAGCATCCATCACTACGGGGCTGAAGCCCTGATTCGCGTCCAGTTGGATTATCTCAGCAATCTTTGCCTCGTTGCCTATCCTTTTCTTTGAGTCGTTTGCACGGAGATAACTACTGTAGGGAATGTACGGTTTTTGCGAGTCAATTGGTTAATAGGATCAGCAATTGAGGGAGCAGATAGGATGGGCAGTCACGACTCACGGCGAGCAATCATAGAGAAATCTCACAAGAGGCCGAGGGTGGAACCAAGGCGGAGGCGGAGGCGGAGGGCACACACAAAAAAAAGACACATCACCGAAAGTCACGGTGGACTCGGGACTTTCTGATCGTCCACCAGCGTGTGAGGTATAACTGCTGGCCTTATTTGTCGCTTCCTGGAAGTGAACGCTCAGAATGCTTTGATGTTGCGCTAGAGTGACACGCTCACCCGTGACAGATCAAACGCCTTGAGAGACTCGTAGTATTGTCACTTCGATACTTGAAGTCAACACACCCATTCGCGAATCTCACGCGAAGTTGTCGCGATCATATTTTCGCCACAAGCCTGCTTCTCTCTACATGAATTCGCAGCCGATTTCAGTGATTTCGGCGTCGATGCGTTTTTCGATGAAAGCTTTTCGCAAACACCACCTACGCGGAACGTTCCAAAAATCCCCTCCCTTTCGTCCATGCCGGTCTTCACGCGGCCGCTCACAAGCCCTACAGCCGCGTGCGTCACAGCCTTTCCCATCTGCTGCTCGCCCACCAGCGACAGGGGTTCGTGTAACGACTCGCTGCGACGTCACGCGCGACACATCAAGCGACAAGCCAAGGACGCCTCGTGTGACAATTGGCGTGACAGCGAGTCACATGAATTGACGTTTTGGGCATTCGAGCCTCAGTCGGGGCGGAAAGGCAAGCACTCGCATCACGGACGCGCCTTATTCTCAATCTCTGTTCCCCCGGCTATAGTGCTGTCGCCTACTAGCAACGACATCGCACGACAGTACTTCTCTAGCGGCATCAAGAGCCGCGCTGCTCTCGCAGAGAATGCCACGAACCGCAGCAAGTCTAAGCGCAAATTCAATGGTGCTGGTGGTGGTGGCGGCGGCGACGATGCGGATGAGAAACAAGACGCCGTCGCCACGGATTCAGCGCCAGCAGCAGTGGCGCGAGCAAACTCAAAGGCTGTTAAGACCATAGAAGTCGTCGCGACCGTCACTTCCGCCAGTTTCGCCAAGAGTCGCACGTCGCTACGCGCGACCATTGCTGGTCATCCCACACCCTGTTGGGGAGCTGTTGGATTGTAACGAGGGCTTTGTCTCAATCGATGTTGAGTTAGCAAAATCCAAAGGCCATTACATGACAGTAATCACGTGGTGCCACCTCACCGCGGCTGCGCAAGTAAGCCGCTGCCATCGCGCAACCCTTCCAAATTGAGGCTGCGATCAGCACCTGTGGGAACTGCGTGCTGGTTTTGGGACGCCACAGCGAGTAGCAAGAGCTGATGGAGCGGGAGAAGTAGAAGGGGCGGAAGGAGGTGCGGAAGGAGGGGCCGGCAAAAGCGAGGTCGGCAATTCGAGTAAGGACGCAATGACGGTGACAGCGATCGGACGCGCAGCGGCGAAGGCAGTGATTGACACGTGTAGTGGCACTGGCAGCAGTCTTATCGCGTTGGGTGGCAACGCGGCGCGGACACAGACGACGCTATTCCTATTGGTGCGCAGCGAAGGCGGTGACGCCGGCAAGTAGAGCGCTTGCGACGTGCTAATTGAAGGGGGAAGGCCGCCAGCTGATGCGCGTGGTGGCAGAGGCGGCGTGTTTGGAAAGAAGTAGCGGCAGGGGAAAGGCAAGCAGAGCGTGTTCGTGTACAAGCTGGTGCGCGCGCCCGCGCGGGAAGGCAGGGTTTCGGAAATGTGTGTGCATCGCGCGAGGACTGCAGGGGTGGCGAAGAGCGACAACGCTTGTGTGAGGGAAACGGAAAGCGTGGAAGGAGCAGGGGAGAGGGCGCGGGGTTGGCAGCAGTGGTCGCTAGATCGAAGCGACACGCAGAGCGACATTGCTGGCATGAATGAATGGCCGAGGGAGATGGAGAAGTATCTGGTGGATAAGGAAAGGATGATGATGACATGGCGGCACACGGAAGAGGGGGGAGAGCGGTGGAATATGTGCGAGGAAGGTAGGGATGAGCATGCACGCTCAGCGCAACAACTCGCTCTTCCCACACAGGGAAGCGGTGGTGGTGGTGGTGGTGGTGCTGTTGCTGCGACTAGAAAAGCAAGAGCAGGGAGAGCAGGAGAGGTGGCATGGATAGGAGAAAGGAAGGGAGCAGTGGGCCTCAAGGCTAGCACGGTGGTATACCACCCACCCTTCAGCAGCTACCGGCACCAGGCTGACATGGCAGCCCTAGACGAGGCTGAGGGAGCTGGAGCAGCAGTTGGAGAGAGAGAGGAGGAGGAGGGAGGAGGAGGAGGAGGAGGAGGAGGAGGAGGAGGAGGAGGAGGAGGAGGAGGAGGAAGAAGAAGAGTTGTTGGCAGTGGCTGGGGAGAGAGGAGTGAGGGAGGTGCGAGTGAGGGAGGGAGTGGGAGGAGGGGGGGGCTTGGATGGTAAAAATGCCTGGAAGGGGTGAGACGAGGAGACTAGAGGAGCTTTGTGAGAAAGTGTTTAGGATGGGATCTAGTGGGGTGAGGATGGGATTGGATGGGGTGGAGATGTGTTTGGAGCTGGAAAGAGGGGTGGTGAGCATTGGGCCTAATGTGTAGGGCGGGAGAGAGTATGCAGTCACATCACCACTGCATGTACCTCCTCCCATGCAACGGTCCTGGACACACACGAGGTAGGACAAAAGGGCCACGGAGCAGCGAGAGCAATAGAAGCAGAGGGAGCCAATGGGTGTATGTGTGAAGCAAGATGTGGGAATGGTGTAAGCAGTAGCACCATCCATGCTATAGTCCCGGATAGACACGAGGCAAGAGAGGGCAATGAGGGCCTGGCAGCAGGAAGTGGCACCACCAGTGAGGGTTGGGGGCAGCGCACGGGAGGGGAGTAGCAGAGGGGAAGCAGACAGTGGGCGGGTGTGTGGCGAGGCAAGACCCAGCCGAGCAGGCACTTGGAGCAAGAGGAGGGGGTGGCCTCACGCAGAGTGGGGGACCTGCAGATTCACACGCATGCGCTGTGAGTACTGCATGGCTGGTTGTGAACGTGTCTAATGGCAAGATGTACCACCGGTGAGCAGCAGCGTGAGATAACCGTGAAGGTCAGCAGCTACACGGCGCGGAACTCCGCACGCAACTCAGCGTTGAACACAGGCGGCGTTTCCATGAACTCAATGACCTCCTTTCACGTGAGGAGGTCATGGCGACTGACCAGCAGGGTGATGGTGATCATATCCGGCGTAAACTTGAAGTAGCCGTAGGACGGCCCTATCCCGCCTGCCGTCACATGGGTCGCTGACACCGGTGTCACACTGCTTCGACACCCATCGACGTCACATTGCAAGGAGCCTGCAGCCACCGACGTCTGTAGCCCTTGCAGTTGAACGCCGCTGAATTCTTTGGCATGAATCACCCCTCTCAACATCGACGTGCCGCCCTTCCAGGCCCCTCGCGGCCCCTTCGCGGCCCCGTTGCCGCCCTTCCAGGCCCCTCGTGGCCCCTTCGCGGCCCCGTCGCCGCCCCTTTCGCGGCCCGTCGCTGCCCTTCTAGGCCCCTCGCGGCCCCTTCGCGGCCCCTTCGCGGCCCCGTCGCCGCCCCTTTCGCGGCCCGACGCCGCCCTTCCAGGCCCCTCGCGGCCCCTTCGCGGCCCCGTCGACGCCGCCAGCGGCCCCGTCGCCGACCCTAGCGGCCCCATCGCCGCTCCTATCGGCCCCGTCGCCGCCGCCAGCGGCCCCGTCGCCGCCGCCAGTGGCCCCGTCGCCGACCCTAGCGGCCCCGTCGCCGCTCCTATCGGCCCCGTCACCGCCGCCAGCGGCCCCATCGTCGCCGCCAGCGGCCCCGTCGCCACCTCCAGTGGCCCCGTCGCCGCCACTTGCGGCCCCGGCCCCGCCCCGGCCATGCCCCGTCGCCAGCCGCGGCGCACCGGGGGCACGTGCACCGCCCCCCCCCCCCCCCCCCCCCCCCTTTTCCCGTCGCCTGTCGAGGCGACCTGAGGGGCGACCTGGGGGAGGGGGGCGAGCATCGCCCCTTCTGCCGCCTGTTTTGGCGCCCTGGGAGACCGCGCGTCCCCCCCCCCCCCCCTAACCTCCCTGCCCGCCGTCCCGCCCTGCCCTGTGTTAGGGTCTGGGGGTGGCAAGTAGGGGGTGACGGGTGTGTGGTCTCCCCTGCTCCTCCTCCTCCTTCGTCTCCCACTTTTGCAGCTGTCGCTGAGGGGGGTGGATGTGTGGAAGCCTGGGGTTTAGGGTTTAACGGGGGTGCTGTGGGAGTGGAGCTAGGGTTTTGAGGGAGGTGGATGTGTGTGAGCCTGCGGTTTAGGGTGTAAGGGGGGTGCTATGGGAGTGGAGCTAGGGTTTGAGCAGGGGGTGTGTGTCGAGAGGTGTGGGGCAACTGGAGGAGGTTGGTTGAACGGAGGTTGTCGTCGTGTCGTCAGCAGCACCAGTAGTCCGGGGCGCTGCTCCGGTAGCCCAGTCGTAGCCAGCTGTGCCAGTCGCCCGTGGGTCCGTTGCTCGTCTGCCGCAAGTCTTAGCCGCGGAGCCAGTTACTCCAGTAGTCCGGAGCGCTGTTCCGGTAGCCACTGTGCCAGTGTGACTCCTGTTGCCCGTGTGTCTGCAGCTTCAACCGTCGCCTCCTATCTCCTCTCCTCTTACAGTCTCGCCTCCTCCTCCTCACTTGCCCTTTGTGAATGACTCTAGCTTTGCTCGCTATTGTGAACTCCTGCTCTATGCCTGCTTGCTCATTGTGCTGATTACACCCCACTTTGGCTATGGGGGTGTGTCAGAATGTTATGTTTGTCTAGCCTGCAGTGGGGTACTCAATAGTGAGTACAGCCCAACTTAGGGTTTCCTATATGTACTCAACTGCTTGCTAGTGAACCCCCCTCTTCTTCATTCTCTCGTTCTAAACTTCACAGAACTCCGCACGCAACTCAGCGTTGAACACAGGCGGCGTTTCCATGAACTCAATGACCTCCTTTCACGTGAGGAGGTCATGGCGACTGACCAGCAGGGTGATGGTGATCCTATCCGGCGTGAACTTGAAGTAGCCGTAGGACGGCCCTATCTCGCCTGCCGTCACATGGGTCGCTGACACCGGTGTCACATTGCTTCGACGCCCATCGACGTCACATTGCAAGGAGCCTGCAGCCACCGACGTCTGTAGCCCTTGCACCTGAACGCCGCTGAATTCATTGGCATGAATCACCCCTCTCAACCTCGACGTGCCTCCTGCAGTGCTGCCGATTTGGTCAACGGCGTGGATGCCCACGCCGACGCTGCCTTCGTTGTTCACCGGTCAAGGAAAGGCAGATTGCAAAGGGTGCTCCGTCTCCCACTTTGCGCGGATACCCTGCTCGACGACCTCCAAGGGGAGATTCTCCCCGCACCCGCCATCTGCGTGGCGTCTCCTCGCATCATTCAGCCGTATCTCCAAGGTATCCACTACACCTAAGTCACATACGGTGCCCACCATGGTGACTAACACAGCTGGCGGCCTACAAACGTGATAAGTCGCGGCGCCGTCCACGCTCACCGCACCATGCGGAGATAACTCGTCCAACGGGAGCTAGACTATGAAGAAGGCACGGGTATAGGAGTGTTCATAGCATTCGTTAGCGTTGGCTCGTGTTCTCTCTACGCACACATTCACGGGAAGAATTGGCAAGAGTTTCACTAGCAAAAGTTCACAATGCAAAGAAAAAATGGACTACATCAGATGCTAGCAAGCAAGCTGTCGACCTCCAGCGCAGCATGGTTGATTACCCTCCAGCGCAGCAGAGTTCGCATCGCTCAGCGTTGCAAGGATGCGGCTTGCCAACGCTGCAAGTCCACGGCATGCCAACGCGGCAGCAAGGCGGCTCCACAGCATTGCACCCGCATGACAGTGGTGCACCAGCTGCGCAGGTGCACACGGCTGGTTGGTGCTTCGCCCGGTCACGTGCACAACGCAGACGTCGGGCCGAGAACACGCCACCGACTGCTCTCACCAGCCACAGCGACCTCGAAATACCACTTCGGAGATCGGCCTCGAAGAAATCACCACGGGGACTATCGCACATGTCGCTTTGGTAACAGGGTTGACCGGGCAACCACTCAAGGCCGACATCCCAAAAGTCGGCGCCAGCTGGTTGGCCTCGCTAGCATGACCACCCTAACATGGCGCCCTCCTACTCGGCGCCCTGCAGCTCGGCGACCGGCACCCTTTATCTTATCGACCACTTGGTCAAGTCGGCCGCCGGCTCACTGGCGTTGGCGGCATTGCAGTGGCCTAGTGCCTAGGTTGGCGTCGCCCACTGCAGCTGGTCGGCTGTGCTCCCCGCACACCGGACTACGAAGTCAGCTCCGCCAAAGCAAGGACGGGGCCAACACACAACTCCCGTTGACAAAACGCGTAGAGACAACTGCTTGTGTAAGGGCCAAATAAACTCAAGCTATTAAGACTTTATCAAACTTAAAACCTCTCCTCGGGGTCACCTCCAAGGGTCCTTGGGTGCCTGGTACAAGACCAGCCCCTATCCTCGGGTCCGAGTTTGTAGAGAGAGGGATCAAGAGGGACTTAGTCAAAACAACAAGAGTACCTTGAACGTCGCAGAGCGTATTGTGCAGACCGTCGATCGGAATTACCTGAGAATTTCCTATATCGAAGCTCGCTCCAAGAGCTTTAAAATGAACCAAGTTGCCTCGCGAAAAGTTCTGCCATTACGAAGTTATGGCTCGGACAGCGTTTGCCTAGTGTTGGAGTGCTAGCGTACTAGCGTTGACTTGGGTAGCATTCCGCCGTCGCACCGCGTAGAAACGAAATTCCAGCAAGGAAGGAATTCGCTTGAATCAAATTGACTATATCCAGGTACAAACAGAGAAGGAATAAATAGTTCTAGCTAGCAAGGACCCTGGGAATAAACCTGGGAACAACCAAGGATGATCCCAAATAACTCCAAGCAACAGAACCAACTTGGCTAGACAAAACAGCAGGTGGTAGGTTGGTAAAAAACCTCTGGTTCTGTTTTTCCAACCTGGAAAAACAACAACCAGGTTCAAGTTCTAAAATCAGAACCTGTTTTGTCTTTGCCCAACCAGCCAAATGCTGGTTCCGCTGGTTTCCCCTGGCCCTGTAGTATACAGATACAGACAAACAACATCCAACCTTCACCTAAATTGTACCCCTATAGTGCCTGCCCTGCTAAACTATAGTCCACCAAACAAAACAGTAGAATTTTGAGTTGGATAGAACTGAATCTGCGCAATCAATTCAACCGAACCGCAAAGCTTCCATCTCGGGTTCCTTTGCGAGCTCGTCCTTTTTCCTTGTACTGTTCATAGCGCGTACAATGTTGTGCCGAAGCGCACAATGCGCGAGTACCTACAAATGCTTCAAGAAAAAATTGCGAAAGCAAACAAACACACGACCATTCCATTAACACCCAAATGCATTCGCACACGCATAGTCGTACGAACAGATGGCAGGATGTCGTGTAATGTGAATTTGCACCCAACACACTCCCCCTTAGCCTGCGGGCTGCATCCCCATCATTCCATGCTAGTTCATGCTCATTCCACTCATGCGCACACAACGCCAATGAGGCTCATCCGCAAGCCTCTTGGTGAGAAAGTCTGTTGGCTGCTGGTGAGTCTTGATGTAGATCAAATTCACCGTCTCCCTCTTCACCTCCTTACGCAGCCAGTGCCACTTGATACGCATGTGCTTGTTGAGCCCATAAAGCACAGCGATCTTGGCCATCCCAAGAGCCCCCTTGCTATCACAGAACAACGATGTAGCAACCTTTTGCTCCTGGCCAATCTCCTCTAACAGCCTCAGCCAAATCACCTCCTTCTCCTCATGGAACATCGCCATGTACTCTGATTTCACGGAAGAGAGTGCCATCTCCGTCTGCTTCTTTGAC